ACGGGATCACCCTTCTCGCCCGCGCGCGCAGCTTCGCCTCGCCAGCACGCACGACACGAACACGAAACCGAAAACGAATTGCCTTTGGGGGGTCTCTGTTTCAATTCGATCGTACCCGCAACCTCTGGCACGTATGGTTGCCAGCGTGGGCCCCGACCAGTGGTGTGATCCGTGTGGTCTGAGCTGTGTGGTGTAAGCTATGTGGCGGAACCTATGTGGTGCAGTATATGTGGAGTGAGCTATGTGGTGTTCATTTCAGTGGTGCAGCATGTGTGGTACGAACTATGGGGTGTGAGCTATGTGGTGCAAACTAGGTGGTGCAATCCATGTGGTGCGGCCTGCGCAGTATATGCTATGCTGTGCAATATAAGTGGTGCAGTATGCACAGTGCAGTATCTGTTGTGTGAGCTATGTGCTTTAAGCTGTGACATGTGGGTTATGTGATATACGCAAGCTTGTGCAGTTTACGCGATATAAGCTATGTCATGTAAGTTACGTGGTACAATCTACTTGGGGTAAGCCATGCAGTGTACGCACGGGGCCCCCACGAGGCGCCCACTGGCGGCAACGTGGCGAAACCTCGGCGGACCCACCCAGCGCACGGGGCGTCCACGAGGCGCCCACTGGCGGCAACGTGGCGAAACCTCGGCGGACCCACCCAGCGCACGGGGCGTCCACGAGGCGCCCACTGGCGGCAACGTGGCGAAACCTCGGCGGACCCACCCAGCGCACGGGGTACCCACGAGGCGCCCATGCGTGACGAAACCCTGGCGGAGCCCCAGCCGGTGGGCGGCAACGAGGCGCCCACAGCTGTCAACGTGGCGAAGCCTCGGCGGAACCATCCAATTCCTTAGGGACAGAAGTAAGAGCACTCTAAGTGCAAGCCTTGTTTGGGGAATCTACACGTATATGCATACACACATACATGCATACATGTGTGCGTGTATACATATAAATATAAAAAATTATTCATTTACACACATCGTGTGTGTATATATATATATATATATATATAGATGAATACCGCACATAGCGCACATCTCACGATAGAGCGGGCAGGGGAGGAGCCTGATCCGGACAATCCGTGGATGGGGCTACCCGGCAGGGCATGAGTACATCCCATGGGCTCCCGCGCTGCACCGCAGGGCCAGATCCCTGGAAGGACCAGAAGGCAAAGTTGGTCCAGGGCCATTCATGGATGGCAAGGTGCGGGCGGTGCTCGGGTGGTGTGTGAAGAAGGAGGAGGAGGAGGAGGATGAGGAGGAGGAGGAGGAGGAGGAGGAGGGAGGAGGAGGGAGGAGGAGGAGGAGGAAAAGGAGGAGGAGGAGGAGCAGCAGGAGGAGGCGGAGGAGGAGGAGAACGACGACAACGAGGAGGAGGAGGAGGAGAAGGAGGAGGAGGAGGAGGAACGTGGATGATGGGCAGGAGGATGAACCGCATGAAGGGGAATGGGGAGGAGGCGGAGGGGGCAGGAGGAAAGCCTCTTCCTGCTCAAACTGTGCTTCTGGCCCCCCGGCTACAACAACAACGGCTCCCGTCTGATATTTCCTAGCAATTTATTCCAACATCGCGCTCTCGCGCGGTACCCCCTGACAATTTATTCAGGAATCATGCTCTTGCGTGGGACTTCATCGCATCTTATTGAGACGCCGCGCCCTCGACACTCAGGAAACATGGACCGCGTTATCGCTCGAGACCCCCTCGCGATTCTCGCAGGATTCACGCTTCAGCAACCCGTCTGCTCGACCTGGCCGCCCCGGCCCGCCTTCCCGACCCGCCCGCTAGGGTCTGCCCGCCCGATCTGCCCGTCTGGTTCTACCACGTGTTTCCTACTCCTGCCCCCCCTCCTGCTAATTTCTCTCGGTGTACATCCTTCTCCCTCCCCCTTCCATCCGTCCCTTCATTTGTTTTAGGGGCTACAATAAACGCGCGTGGCAGGTGTAAGGAGGATATGGCCCAAGGGGGTACGATCGAAAACGAAGAGGGCGGGTGCGGAGGGTTTTTGGATATACGTGTTGAATGGCACGCGAGCAGATAGGAGCGAAGAGTTTTAAAGTGTATGAGTATTCACATCTAGAGAATAATTGTTGTTGATCTCTGGAAACGGTTCCCCGCGCTCTCGCCTCGACGCCGGCTGCAATTCCTCTGAAAACGAGGCTCCCGCTCGAGCGCGGGCCCTTGGAGGCCCGGCTGCGACGACAAAGGCTTCCGCATGATATTTCCTCACAATTCACCCCGAGACACCCTGGCCAGAGAGGCCCCCGAGCTCAGGACCGGCGCTCTCGCGGGAGACTTCCTCATGATTCAGTCAAGTTGGCGGAGGCCCAGCCGCGACGACAAGGGCTCCCGCTCGATACTTCCTGACGATTTGCTCCGCGAGTGACCATTTTGAAACGTATCCCAATCCCTGTGTTTGGCATCACTTCACCTCGATGCCGACCTTAAGGAAATCCTTCAGTCTCTGAGGTCACATCCCTAAGATTGTCCTCGTGTTTGGCTCGCCCATCTTAGGGATAGGGATCAGTTCGAGGCTGGTTAGAGAGGCCCCGGCCAGAGAGGCCCCCGAGCTCAGGAGCAGAACCGCTGTTTTTTTGATGCGGTGCAGGGTCCGTGGGCCGCGTGCCGCTCGTGGCCGGCCGAGCTTCCGCACGCGAGAGGCTGCGGCGGGACCCGCAGAGCCTGCGAGGCCTGAGGTCGGCGCAGGGGCTTCCGATCCTGCGCGCTGCTCCTCCTTCTCCTCCTCCTCCTCCTCCTCCGATCGGCGAGGGCCGACTTCGCAGGCTGAAGATCTAGACATCCTGGATGGGGTCCGAGCAGATGGGGTCGGAGGATCGCGCCGCATGGCCGGTGCATCCACAAATCAAGCCGCGCGTGCAAGGCCTCGGCCCCGCTTGCTGCCGTCGTCGGTGGGTGCGGCGCGGCGCGAGGCTGCCCCCCGGGGGGCTGCGACGCGCCCAGGCCCGACGCGCCGCCGCTTGGGCGGCCTCGCGCCACGCCTGCGTGCAGCAGACAGGGTGGAGGGTGGGAGAAAAAACGCGCGCCAGGGAGGCACCCGCCGCGCGCGCGAGCGGGCGCGCGCGGCGCCTCCCCCACATTGCAAATCACCTGCGAAGCGCACGCCCCGCCGGGTGGGGGGGGGGGGGGGGGGGGGGGCAGCGCCCCCCCCCCCCCCCCCCCCGCCCCCCCGCGGCGACCCATCCCTGGCGCGCGACGGCGCGATGGCCCGCGCCTGCGCAGCGAGGCCGCGGTCGCGTCGTACTGCCGCGCGCGCGACCTACGCGCGACCGTGGCCGATTTGTGCCCGCCCACATCGGCGTGCGCCTGCGTCTTCGAGTGCTCATGCCGCCGTGGGCCAACCACAAATCAAACCGCGCGTGCAAGGCTTCGACCCCGCTTGCTGCCGCCGTCGGTGGGTGCGGCGCGGCGCGAGGCTGCCCCCCGCGGGCGGCCGCGACGGGCCCAGGCCCGACGGGCCGCCGCTTGAGCGGCCTCGCGCCACGCCTGCGTGCAGACCCAATGCCACGCGGCACGCAGGCGACACGGGCCGGCAACGCGCGCGCGCCCGCTGCCGATCGCGCGGGGGCACAGCACGGGCGCCGTCGCGCGCGCGCGCGCCCGCGCGCAGGAGCGAAACGTGGCGGCGCTGGCCACTGGCGCTTACCTGGCACCCTCGTCCGAATCAGACTCCAGCGTGTGCGCCTGGCGCGAACAACGTGCCGCGGCGCGGGCGGAGGGCGCGTGGCCCCGCCTCCACAACCGCGTCCCTCTCCAGATCGTCACGGTCGAGACGCGCCATGAAGGCGCAGGACCGCCACTCCCCGGCCGCGAGAATCTCGGCAAGCGTCGCGCCTGCCTCCTGCAGGTCCATGGCGTGGCCCCTGCGGAGGTCATGCAGCCGAAACAGGCCTGCCCCCTGGACACCGAGAGCAAAGAGCATCTCGCGCAGGGTCCGCAGCGGCCGCCGAGATGCCCCCGAAGAGCCCGCGGCCCAGCCCGCATCGCGCCACCCAGGGGCCCAGGGTGTGCACGGGGCACGTGGCGCGGCGCGATGGGCACTGGCACCTCCGCGACAGGCGACTGCTCTGCGCCTGGTTTTTCCGCCGCCGCAGCAGCAACGTGAGCTCCGCTTCGCCGAGCACGAGCGCCGCTTGAAAGGGCGGCGCGTCGCCGGCGTCGGCCACGCGCGCGGCCGGCAACGCCTCGCTGGGACCTCTCAGCAGAAACGTGTAGGCGAAGGGGAAAAGCATCGAAGCGCGGAGCCACTCGGGGCGGCGCGTGCCCAACTCGACCTGCGCGGCGACTGCGCTCTTTCTGATGAGCAAGCGCGGGCGCGGAGTCCAATCGGCCCGCGCCCGGACGGCGGCGCGCGCGCACCTGGCCTCGGGGCGGTCGAACGCGGCGACGCAGACCCGAGACAGGAGGCAACCGATTTTGACGTAGCTGCAATAGTTTGCGTGCGTTTCCCCGCAGCGAAAGAGGGCGCCCCGGGCGACCCGGTCCGCGCTGGCAGGCGGGAGCTGCATGCGCGGATATTGCAGCGTTCTGGCGCAGTAGGCCTCCCCGCATTTGGGACCGCTTCTCACGCTTGGGAGCGACCGCGCGCATGGTTGCAGCATAGCGCGAGCGCGTTCTTCCTCCCGCCGACGGGCCGCGTCTGCCAGACTGCGGAGGGGCGCAGCAGCTTCGGCGTGCGCTGCCCGGGGCCCGCGCGTTGCTGGCATCGCGATCGGCGCAGCCGAGGACGCTGGAGGCGGGTGGCTCGCGAGCCGCGGCGCGCGGGAAATCGCGAGCGCGCGGGGCCGATGACGCGCGCCTGTGGCGGCCCGGATGAACCTGGAGCGCCCGGCGCCGCGCGTGCCGCCGGCGACCGGCCGCGGGCGGCCGCGCGCCCGCCATCTGCTGGGCCCGCGGCGACGGGCGCCCCTGCGGGGCGCGCGCGGCTGGGGGGGGGCAGCGCCCGCCGAATACCTTCGCGCCGCCGAGCCTCGGCGCGCGGCAACCTTCGCGGCTCTGAATGGCTCGTGCAGGGCCCCGACATTGGCCTGCGCGGTGACTGGCCGCCCTTCAAGGTCTGCGGCGTCTGCGCTGGCGAGTTCGCAGGCGCGCGCGAAGCCGTTCTCGGCCGGGAAATCAGCCGCCCAGGCAGCGGCCGTCTCGGGCGCGGTCGGGCGCAAAGAACACAACTCAAGGAGTGGCGACATGATGCCGCGCGGCGCGCCAGACGATGCGAGCGACGCGCCTGATGTACTGGGCTCCCCGCTTGCGACTAAATGCGGGGCCCTGGGGTGACAGGCGCGGCGGCGCGCCGAGCGCCTTGCCGTGGTGGCAAATTTAATTCGCGACGCCCCGACGCGCAAGGTGGCCCACGGGCGCTTCATGGCGCGCAATTTAGCCGAGGAGGCGCGGCGCAGACAGAGCGCCCCAGGCGTCCGCGTGCCAGAACGCTTCGTCGAGCCACGGGCGCGTGCGCACCGCGCCGATGCGTGGCAGGAGCTCGTCGCCCCCCCTGCGATGCGCTGCGCCCGCGGCCAGTCCGCAGCGCCGCGTAGGCGCGCGCGGGCGCGCCGAGAAAGCAGATCGGCGAGATTCTTAGCCGTGGGCACACGAAACACAGCGAGGTCTAGGTCGAGCTCCACTGCGCACCTCCAGAAGGAGGAGGAGGAGGAGGAGGAGGAGGAGGAGGAGGAGGAGGAGGAGGGAGGAGGAGGAGGAGGAAGAGGAGGAGAGGAGGAGGAGAGGAAGACGAGGAGGAGGAGGAGGATGAGGAGGCGGAGGATGAGGGGGAGGAGGAGGCGGCGGAGGATGATGATGAGGAGCAGGACGAGGAGGAGGAGGAGGAGGAGGAGGAGGAGGAGGAGGAGGAGGAGGAGGAGGAGGAGGAGGAGGAATATGAGGAGGATCTTGATGAAGAGGAGGAGGAGGAGGAGGGGGAGGATGATAAGGGAAGAAGAAGGAGGATGAGGGCGAGACCGAGGAGGTGAAGGATGAGGACGATGAGGACGATGAGGACGATGAGGACGATGAGGACGATGATGATGATGATGATGCTGCTGCTGCTGCTGCTGATGATGATGATGATGATGATGATGATGATGATGATGATGATGATGATGATGATGCGGATGATGATGAGGATGATGATGATGATGATGATCATGCTGCTGATGATGATGCTGCTGATGATGATAATGCTGATATTGATGCTGATGATGATGCTGATGCTGATGGTGATGAGGATGAGGATGAGGATAAGCATGAGGATGAGGATGAGGATGAGGATGAGGATGAGGATGATGAGGATGATGAGGATGATGATGATGCTGATGCTGATGCTGCTGATGATGATGCTGCTGATGATGATGATGAGGATGATGATGATGCTGATGATGATGATGATGCTGATGATGATGATGATGATGCTGATGATGATGATGATGATGCTGATGATGATGATGATGATGCCGATGCTG